AGATTTGGGTTTGGTTTTCTGCAGTTTTTCTAGGTCCTTGAGATGCGCTGAAAGCTCATTTATTTGGTACCTTTCCAATTTCTTGATATAGGCACCTATTGCTATAAATTTGCCTCTCAATACTGCTTTTGCTGTATCCCATAAGTTTTGATATGTTGTGTTGTTGTCTTCATTTACTTCCAGAAACTTTTTGATTTCTCTTTTGATTTCTTGAATGACCCATTGTTCATTCAGGAGCATGTTGTTCAGTCTCTATGTGTTTGCATACTTTCTGGGGTTTCCTGAGTTGCTAATTTCCAGCTTCATTCTGCTGTGGTCTGAGAAGCTGCATGGTATGATTCTAATTCTTTTAAATTTGCTGAGACTTGCTTTATGGCCTAGTATGTGATCAATCCTAGAGAAGGTTCCATGCACTGCTGAGAAGAATGTGAAGTCTGTAGATGTAGGGTTGAAAGTTCTGTAGATATCTGTTAGATCCATTTGGGCAATAGTGTCAGTTAAATCTGCTGTTTCCTTGTTGATCTTCTGTCCGGATGATCTGTCTATTTCTGAGAGTGGAGTATTGAAGTCCCCCAGTACTATTGTATTGGAATCTAAGTCTCCCTTTAAGTCCCTTAACATATCTTTTAAATAGACCAGTGCCCTGTAATTAGGTGCATATACATTTACAATAGTTACATCTTCCTGTTGAATTGAACCCTTAATCATTATATAGTGTCCCTCTTTGTCTCTCTTAACAGTTTTTGTATTAAAGTTTATTTTGTCTGATATTAATATGGCTACACCTGCTTTTTTTTGGTTTTTGTTGGCATGGAATATCTTTTTCCAACCTTTCACTTTCAGTCTGCATGCCTCTTTGTTAGAGAGATGTGTTTCTTGTAGGCAACAAATAGTTGGGTTGTGTTCTGTGAGCCAGTCAGCCAAACGGTGTCTTTTAACTGAAGAATTCAGACCATTAATGTTCAATGTGACTATTGATAGGTAGTGACTTTGCCCTGCCATTTTCCCGGATATATGCTTTGAGCTTCCCATGCTCTTTTACTGGTAGGTGTTCTTCCTTTCCCTTCTTTCATATTGATGGCCGTGTTTCTGTGTTTCTGAGTGTAGCACATCTTTAAGTATCTTTTGCAGGGCCGGACGAGTGGCCACAAAGTCTTTCAATTTCTGTTTGCTATGAAAGGTCTTTATTTCACCTTCATTCACAAATGAGAGCTTGGCAGGATATAATATTCTGGGCTGGCAATTTTTCTCTCTTAGTACCTGGGCTATATCTCGCCATTCCCTCCTAGCTTGTAGGGTTTCTGATGAGAAGTCTGCTGTGAGTCTGACTGGAGATCCTCTGAGAGTAATCTGACGTTTCTCTCTTGCACATTTTAGGATCTTTTCTTTATGTTTCACTGTGGTAAGTTTAATTACCACGTGTCATGGTGAGGATCTCTTTTGGTCATGTTTATTGGGGGTTCTATGAGCTTCCTGTACTAGGATGTCTCTGTCCTTCTCCAAACCTGGAAAGTTCTCTGCTAGTATCTCACTAAAAAGGCCTTCTAATCCTTTCTCTCTCTCCATGCCTTCAGGAACTCCTAGAACTCGAATGTTGTTTTTTTTAATAGTATCCTGTTGATTCCCAACAATATTTTTTAGATTTCTAATTTCCTCTTCTTTTCTTTGGTTTGACTGTATGTTTTCCTGTGCTCTATCTTCTAAGTCCGATATTCTCTCTTCTGCTTCACCCATTCTGTTTTTAAGGCTTTCTAATGTGTTTGTCATTTGATCTATTGAGCTCTTCATTTCATTTTGATTTCTCTTCACTATCACACTTTCCTGTTCTACTAGTTTCTGAGTTTCATTTTGATTCTTCCTTAAAATTTCATTTTCACGAGAGAGATTTTCAATCTTGTCCAATAAGGATTTCTGTAGTTCAAGGATTTGCTTTTGAAAACTTCTAAATGTTCCTATCATAAATTTTTTGAAATCCGTATCTTGCATTTCTTCTATCTCATCATCTTCATAATCTTGGTTTGGGGTGTTTTGTTTATTTGGAGGCATCATAGTGTCATCGTTGATCTTGTTCCCTCGATTTCTGTGTTTGTTACTTGGCATAGTTAATTCTTCTTGCGTCACTGTGCGTTTTTTTTTTTTATTTTATACTATGTCTGTGTTAAGTGGACTGCCTGCTGTTGGAGGAGCCTTGGAGGCCTGAGATGGGTGCGGGCTGAGAGCTCTGCTTGGTTCTTCCTGGTTAAGGGTGTGCAAAGGTGACACCCTCAGGTTATGCGTGGTAAATCTCTTTTTATTTATTTATTTATTTTATTTATTCAGGGGGTAAGTAACACCGCACGGCACGACTGTGCAGAATTGATGGTATTTAGCTTCCAGTCTCTGGCTTCTACCCCCAGAGTCCGTTTAGGCTCCTCTGGACTCCCACTGGGTTGCCTAGGCTACTGAATTGTAGTGACTCAGTTCCTTAGCTCTCCCCTGTTGATATGTAAATCCAGAGAGGGGGCCTGCTCTTTGTCTTTTGGGAATTCTTCAAGCCTTGCAGCCTTGTAACCTTTGCAAGGTTAGGGGGGAAGAGAAACCCCGAAGCTTATTTTTTTCCTTCTTTCCGGTAGTGAGTTTGCTGCACTTTCCGGCCCCCCTCTAGATTCTGACCCCCGTTTCCCCACCAATGTTTCAGGTTATTGAGCTCACCTCCCCTTCCAGCGCCGATGTGTGGACTCGGAGGCCTGGACGTCCCAAGTCTCCCCGCTGTTGTCTGTGTGGAATGCCGCCTGTACTACTCTCATGGGCTTTTCAGGCAGATCCGCGTGCTTTAAGGGCTGATTCTGAGGCCAGAGTGCTGTTTAGGATATCTGCATTCTATGGGTCTGTTGTGTTTCTCGCTTCCTATGTTGGATTGTTCTCTCCCTTTTTTATTCTATCAGCTAGTATTTGCAGACATAAATACATATTATAAATATTGCTGTTTGGAAAATGGGAAGAACATAACATGGCTATATGGCAAAGTAAGTTCTAATTTATGGAGATGGTATAGTTAGAAGGAGAGAGACACTCACAGTCTATTCTAGAGCTAACGCTGGGGCTGCCCTGAGAGCACTTTCTAATCCCTTCTCAGTAAGTTGGGGACGAGTGGCAGCCTGCAGTGCAGCGCACAGTTCCTGGACTCATCACTGGAGGAGTCTGGAGACACTTGCAAACACTGTGGACCCTGGAAGTTCTGCACTCTCAGTCTAGAGCTCTTGGGAATCCCAGGGAGCAACACCAGACAGTGTGCTCCCACTATCACACTCGACCTTGGCCAAAAGGCTGAGACGCAACCTTGTGCTCCCACCATTAGTAATTAACTGAATTAATTAAAACAAAACAATAAAAAGTAGTGAGCATGAAAAAGAAATATTGGAAATAGGACAGAGATAAGATGCTACAGTTTGAAAGCTCTAAGTGACTAAAGGGGAACTGAAACATGACAAGGAGAAAGCCTGTTCTTAACCATCAGCAAACTTAAAGAAGCCAGGGACGGCACACACATGTGTGGTCACTGAAAACAGAACTAGTACATTAAATAGCAGATTAGATGCAATCAGAGAGAACACTGGAGATGTCAAAAACAGATCTGAATTAATCACCTAGAAAAGGGCACAGAAAAACACATCTGAAATATGAAAGGGAAGGCAAAGGAGAGGAAAGGAGAGGAAAGGAGAGGAAAGGAGAGGACGGAGACCTCCAGTGCAATCAGAAACCACACACCACTCTACCATGTGTGATTACGCACGCATTACAGACCATTAACAACGCAGGGAAGCAGGGAGAATGACAGGAGTGATCTTGTGTGTGATGTCAGCTTGGGATTTTCAGGAGATGATCAAAGATGTGAATTCTAGGTTTCAAGAATCCAGATAAGAACCAAATGAGATGTCATAATGAAATCATAGAACATGAGTGACAAAGGGACTTTAAGAGTTGTCAGAATGGAAAGACAAACAGACCTCCAGGGGAGAAAGCCAAGAAAGGGGGGTGAAAAATAACCATTAAGAAAACATTACAGTTCCTCTTTTCTTAAGAATGAGACATTCTGTTTTATAACATTCTTTTGGGAATATAAATGAAAAAATCCTGAATTTGTTACTGATATATAAATATTCTATTTTTTAAAGATTTATTTATGTATTTGAGTGATAGAGTTACTAACAGAGTGAGGGAGATACAGAGAGAAAGATCTTCCATCCGCTGGTTTACTCCCTAAATGATTCCAAAAGCTACAGCAGGACCAAACCAAAGCCAGGAGCCAGGAGCTTCTTCTGGGTCTCCCACATGGGTGCAAGGACACAAGCACTGGGGCCATCCTCTACTGCTTTCCCAGGCCATAGCAGAGAACTGAATCCAAAGAGGTGCAGCCAGGATACAAACCAGCACCCATATGGAAAGCCACAGCCTCAGGCAGAAGATTAGCCCTCTGCACACCACAGCATTGGCCCCATCAGAATTCTACTTGAAAGGCAGGTAAAGATCCCAAAGGAAAAAAATGAGATGCAATATGTGAAGGAACCAATGGAATTTGATAGTCATTCTGAACACGTCTGATTCAGAGAACGGGGGTGGCTCCAACAGAAACAGGGGACCACACTAGACCCGGGTTTCAGGGAAGACAGTGAGTTTCCCCTCCAGTGTTTCCTATTCACAGAGCCTCTGATAGGACTCGGCAGACACAGGAGCGACTGTCGATGAGAACAGAAAAAGGACAGTCACTCTGAGAACCCAACATCCAGACAGTCCAGGAGCTGAAGGAATGATCCATGTATAGACATCGTTAAAAGGCACCTGGTAGATACCGAAATCAATCACCCAAATACACATGAAATGAACCCTGTGAGGTCAGGGGATTGACAGAGGAAGTGATGTCACCACGTTTGTGGTGTTTGAGAACAAGGGACGCCCCTCCTCCTCCTCTCTCCTGCCCACAGGACTGCTCTGCAGGAAGCTCCCATCCTGCCCCGACGGCCATGGGCACCAGGCTGCTCTGCTGGGCAGTGCTCTGTCTCCTGGGGGCAGGTGAGTCCTCAGACACCATGCATTGCATCGTGGCTGTGGTGTGCACATGTGTGTGTGCGTGTGTACTCATGTATGTTCATGTGTGTCTGTGTGTGTGTATCAGTGAGGACTACAGCTGTTTTCCAACTGTGTTCCCAACTTCTGTCTCCACAGAACACACGGACGCTGGAGTCTCCCAGTCCCCCAGGCACAGGGTCACAGGGAGGGGACAGAATGTCACTCTCACGTGTGACCCAGAGTCTGGTCACAATACCCTTTACTGGTACCGACAGAGCCAAGGGCAAGGCCTGCAGTTTATGATGTACTTCCAAGGAAAAAATCCAGCAGACGACTCAGGGATGCCTGGTGCCCACTTCTCTGCTGAGAGGCCTGGGGGATCTTCCTCCACCCTGAAGATCCAGCCTGCACAGCCTGGGGACTCAGCCGTGTATCTCTGTGCAGGCAGCTTAGACACAGTGTGGTGCTGTTACCTCCCACCTGCTCACAAACCTCATCCTCTGTCTCTTGGCAGCTCTGAGAGACCCTCAACAGAGGGTGTTCTGATCTTCATGGCTCAAAGGAAAGAAGTAAGTGTAGGGCCCATGCTGTGTCACAGCAGATAAAGCTACTGGCTGCACGCCGGCTTCTTATATGCACACTGAGTCCTGGCTGCTCGTATCCAGCTCTCTGCTATGGCCTGGGAGAGCAGTAGAAGATGGCCAAGTGCTGGGGCGCCTGCACCTGCATTTGAAGACCCGGAGGAAGCTCCTGGCATCTGGCTTCAGATTGTTGCAGCTCTGGCCATTTCGACCAATTGCGGAGTGAACCAGGAGATGGAAGACCCCTCTCTCTCTTTCTCTCTCTCTCTCTCTCTCTGCCTCTGCTTCTCTCTGTGTGTAACTCTGACTTTCAAATTATTAAATAAATCTTTAAAAGAAAAAAATAGGAAAGAGTAGATTTGCAGCCCTGCCATCCTTTCTCAGGAGGTGACCATGAGGAACTCCTGCCACACTGGCTGGTACCTCCAGGCAAAACACTCAGCCTTCCTGGTGGAATTTGAATTGTGCCATCCTGAATCACTCCAGGGTCAGTAGCACTGTGTCAACCAGGGGGAATAGAGGGGAAATCTCTGTCCTTGGAATGTCAGTGACTCCTCCTGACCTTTTCTCCAGTGTTTGCCGCCTTTATCCACCTGCTCTCTGGTCACAGAAGCAGCACAAGTCCTGGTACTCACGTGTGAACAGGACACAGAGAGCGTGGTGGTCACTGATGTCCTAAAATACTTGCAGCAGCTGGTTGTGGGCTGTGTCTTCCCAAGGCACTGTGGAATACTTTAGAGCCTTGGCTTTGTTTCTCTGTCACTCTACAGCCTCACCTTCAGTCTTTGTGCAAGTGCATTTCCTCCAGCTTGCAACACCTGAGGTTTTGTGATTTCATTACGTCCACAAGTCACCTCAACTGCGTAGCTCTTCTCCCCAGATACAACCTGTGGAAGCAGAAGTGCCACCAGTAATTGACCAGCTCTTAGAAGTAGGTCGCCTTACACATCCTACCATGAAAGCAATGAGGTTCATTGTCCACCCTCAATTTCTCTCTGAATGAAATGAAAGGGGCAGCATTTGAAAAGCAGGTGACCAGACCGAGAGGGAGGGAGGTGTCAGTTGCACTGGGCTTCTGAAGGAAGCAGAGGTGACGTTGTGTTTGAGAAGGTGCTCCACACACAGGGAGCAGCAGGCTGGTGCATGGGATTTGAGGAGGAGCAAACAGCAGGGCAGAGCCCAACTCCCTGTGGGAAGAGAGATGCATCTCTGGTCTTTGGAGTTGGAAAGCTGTTCTTCTGGGCCAGGAGATAGTGAGTTTGAGGACCCAGCTGCAGTAGTGTGATTATGGAATTAATTCATGTTGGCGTGTAGGTCCCCAGCCCCAGGACCTTTGTAGGAGAAACAGGGATGAACCTCACCTCTTGGTCACAAGGTGGCGCTTCAATGTCAGTGGAACTGAGGTATTCAGGCAGAGTCTGGGAAAGAAAGGGTTAAGGAAACCATCACCTTGGATCCCCTATTTCCAGGGTTGAAATTTTCAGTTACAGCTAAACCACTACCACAAAGCAACACGTGAGGAGGGCTCTAGGCTGAAGGAGATCCAGAGCTGAGCAATCTGACCAGGCACACTGGGTGTGAGGGGCAGAACAACTGCCTCCTAACACGTGGGAAACAAAGAGGAGGGTGAGCCCTGGAGTGAGAGCATCCCTGGTGCCCTCCATCCCCCCGGCAGGTCCTGCTGTGCCACCCCCTCCCAGGGAGGACATGCAGCTGGGGGAGGACATCACAGCCCCACCCCTCTGTCCATTGGAGAGGAGCCTGAGAGCTCTCTCAGTCCTGAGATCACAGCTTGAACGAGGACGGCTCCTTGCTGGCCTACCCCTGCCCTGAGTCCAGCACGTTTCTCCTGGGTGATCCCTGGTTTATGGGAGCAGGTGCGGTGCTGTCTCTACTGAGAAATCCTGTGAATGTTTGTAAGTCCTGGCGGCAAGCCTATCCTTTCTCTGCAGTCACACCACCTCTCCAGTCTTGAGGACACCTAATGACTGCCTCTCCTACGGGTCTCACAGATGCTGGATTCCCCAGACACCACGAGACGAAATCACTACACACAGAAAGAAAGACGACCCAGCAGGGTTCTCAGTGCATGAACACTAGTCCATGTTCTGGTACAAAGACCGATCCATTATACAGCACGGTACTGGCAGCATTGCCAAGTGGATGCCACAGAAGGGTACAGCGTCCCCAGAAATAAGAGGGAGCATTTCCCCTGGACTGTGGAATCGGCCAGAACCCACCAGACTTCCCTGTGCCACTGGGCAGCAGTGAGTCCAAGGCACTGCACAGCAGCCTGCTCCCTCCCAAGCACACAGCCATGGACCATGGACTTGAGCTGGACTCTCCTGCGCGAGGCCACGTCTCCACCAGCAGAGAAATCTGCCCTTCCTGAGGCTCTCCCCACACTTCCCCCTACAGGATCTCAATCGGAGGGACCTGGGGCATCAGGACCTGTAGTGTGAACTTATCCAACAGCGCAGAGCGTGTGGAAATGTAGTCAGCACTGAAGGTTACTCTGCTCAGTGTGTGCCAAGCTGACACCAGGAGCCTGGAACTCCTTCCGAGTGTCCACAAAAGAGTCAAGTGCTTCTCTGAGCTCCCACCCCAGATGGGAGTCCTTGATCATTAAATTTTTCAGACTCTGTGCTCCCAGTGTTCCTTGCTGTTCACTTTCATAACCGTGCCGTCTGAAGAACTGAAATTTAATTCAAATCCTTTTTCTTTTATGTGTTTAGTTTATAAATGTTGACTTTCATGGTTAGTGCCCATTCTAGAAAAACCTTGCCCATACCCCATATATCAATCAATCAATCAAGCATCCCTCTCTTTTATTTCGTCTACAGTTCCACACTCGTACTCCCTTCTCTTCTTCTTACGGCTGACATGCTCCATGTCTGATATCACAGTGTGAGCATCCCTCCATTGGCCAGACCATCTGACCCCATCACACCTGTTCTTTGCCACTGTGCAGCCTCCTATAAAAGGCAACTATGCCTCTCCTTAATTCCTTAGGGAACAGAGATGGGCAAAACGGGGGTAAGAGGGTGTGCACTGAATAGGGCGTCCAGAGGGAGCATCGCATGTCCACCACGTGTGTGAAGCAAATGCCCGCTGCTGGAGTCTCGGGCGGATGCAGAGTGACTCCTCAGAGGACGCTGCACGGGTCCTGCCTCCCCAGCCACACTGCATTTTCCTATTGCATGTTTCTCAGAGCTTCTGATGACTCCACAATGCTAACCACACAATGTTAGATGTCTGTCATTGCTAATTGCAGAATGGTAGAAATGTGTTACTTCTGATGAGAATGTTAGAGTTTGTGGGTTTTTTAGAGGCAAATTGCATGACATAAGGCTCATTTTTCCTTTGTGAAGTCTATTAGGATTCCGAAAGATTTGAGAATGGAAACTAATGACACTGTAATATGAAGGGGTAAGGGACTAACAAAAGTGGCAATGAGGAGAGGTGGACGTGGGTCCCTGCAGGGAATGTGGGTCCCCAACAGGACTTCTGGAAAAGGCTGAGTACTTGGTGCTGTGCCTCTGGTGAAGATAAGCAGCTGTGACATGCATGCCATTAGGAAGGGGTCTGGGGCATGGATACTGAGAACCAGGGCAGTCTACCTCCACCTGCTCTCCTACCCTTGCCCACCATAAGCTGAGTTCACTGGGGAGGGAGAGGAAGAGGAGGCAGTTAATGACATCTGCTGGGGCAACCCCTGCAGGCAGGATGATCTGGAGGGATAAAGGTGACCTACCCAGGGCACTGCATCCCACAGTGGCTCACGCTGTGCTGCGAACTGAACAGGGTCTCTAACTGTGTCTGAGGAAACTTTCCCCTCATAAGTTACAGACAGCCCGGGCTCCTCCACCAGCTCAGATGGGCTCTGTGTTGGTGACTTTGTATCACTGGGTGCTCAGGGAGAGGAGGGGAATGCTAGCAGGGAGAGGAAGACAGAGACACCTTGGTGTGAACCCAGCATCAAGCAAAGCCCACACAGGGGATTTGATCACAGGCTCTTGTACTCCTCTAAGGAGCAGCTGAGTGAGCTCCAGCAGACAGCATTGCAAGCAGCAGGTGGGAGGGGCTGGGGAGAGGGAGATGCGGCTTCCTGAGCAGCAACTGCCTCATCAGAGCAGCATCTGCTTATGCCAGAGCTCCTGTGTGCAGCCTGCAGGGCACTGACTCAGGAGGTTTGGAGGAGGACGGCGTCAGGACAGTGACATCACAGGAGGGTCCCCAGTCAGGAAGAGACAGACTAAGACCAGCTCTTACACGAGACAGTGACTCATAAGCACAGGAAACATCGCTGCCTCCCTCCTCTACTGCACCATGGGCTCCAGGCTGCTCCCCTGGGCAGTGCTTTGTCTCCTGGGAGCAGGTGAGCCCTGGGGACAAGGAGGGTGCCCCCTCTCTGAGCTCCCCGACTCCTCAGTCCTCCACCTCCCTTGGGCTTACACACCAAGACTCTCTCCAGTGCTCTCTCCCTCTGCTTTTCCCACAGGCCCAGTGGAGGCAGGAGTCACACAGACGCCAAGACACCTGATCCAAACAAGAGGGCAGCAAGTGTCGCTGAGATGTGCCCCTGACTCTGGGCACAACCGTGTGTTGTGGTACCAACACGTCCTGGGCCAGGGCCTCCAGTTCCTCTTTGAATATTACAATGAGAGACAGAGCTCAAAAGGAAATGTCCCAGGCAGGTTCTCAGCTCACCAGTTTTCTGACTTTAGCTCTGAAATGAACGTGAGCGCCTTGGAGCTGCAGGACTCGGCTGTGTACCTCTGTGCCAGCAGCTTGGCACAGCCCCGCGGAGTCCCCAGTGCTCTGTGCACAAACCTCCTCTCCCAGTGTGGAGCAGCCTCAGCTGACACAGCTGTGAGACAAGCCACCACAGGGGCAAGAAAACTGGTTTCTATGTGGTGAAAAGTGACACCTGGAGCTCTGAACCACTCAAGGTTGGGGCCACCAGACCAACACATCTGGTCAGAGCAGGGGCTATTTTGGATGGTGTGCTCCAGAATGTCCTCTCAGTGCAGTCTGCCTTTCAAATCAATAAAATATATCTTGGGGCCAGCACCGTGGCGCAGTAAGTTAATCCTCCACCTGCGGCGCCCGCATTGCATATGGGTGCCAGTTCAAGTCCTGGCTGCTCCACTTCCTATCCAACTCTCTGTTATGGCCTGGGAAAACAGTGGAAATAATCAAGTCCTTGGCTCCTGGACCCGCCAGGGAGACCTGGAATAAGCACCTGGATCCTGCCTTCGGAATGGCACAGCTCTGGTCGTTACACATGATACAAGGTCAATGGTTTAAAGTGGATGGGAAGCAGACTTTGTTATCGTAAGTCAGAATCATTAACCCTGCAAGGATCACTAATGAGTGGACAGTTGCAGAATTTATGAGAACAGCAAAGAATGTGTGAAATGAACAGCGGGTGTTATTTGTGTATAAAAGTAAAGTCTGGTGCTCTCTCATAGGAGCCATGCCATCAGCCTTGCTGTGAGTCTGTCTCTCATTCCTCCCCACGCCAATGCTTCCCACACCTTTGGAACACCCGGACCTGCTGGAGCTGGCCTCCGGCACTCTAATATCTGCTAAGAATTAATTCACAGACCAAACAGGGAATGCTGTGGGTCTGTTGCGAGAAGAGGGGCAGCTGTGGGGTGCAGTTTCCAGGCTGCTTGTTTCTGTGGTCTGTAGAACCGGGGCTCACTTCTCTCCTTAGCATGCCAACAGCAATGCTGTAATCCATACTTCTCTCCTTTAGAATCAAGTGTCTGGGCTCACTCTTTTTTTTATGTTGGTCTTTAAAGCCTAAAGGTGGATTTGAGGACCAACTGCAAGTGAGCCAGGCTGGAAAACTATAGAACGGGTGTGGAGGAGGAGCGGTGGCATCTCTGCTCCTGGTACCTTCAATCCTGAGCCTCAGAGGTGGGACTCCCTGAGACCAGACTGCTGCCTGCCTGGAGGCGCTGTGGCCCCTCAGGGACACCAGGACTCTTGGGAGGGTTTGAGGGGAGGGCCAGAAGAAGAGAGCTGAACGGAAGTTTTGGCTGCAACTTGCATTCAGGGGATGGTGTGCGTTTGATAAGAAGTCCTGCACATGTGGATACTGTCCAGGAAAGAGTGAGAGTGCCCTGGGTCTCAGTCTGTACAAGGAGTGAATTTCTCTGTGCCTGCATGGACAGTGGAGGGAAAGAACCGGGGACAGCAAGCACGGGAGCACCAGTCAAACCAGTGCTGTTGTAGCTGAAATTCATAGAGAAGGAAGGAAGGATGCTGTGGGCCTGTGGAGCCTGTGGTCAACCCCACCCACCTACAGGTCAGAGACTGGGAGAGGCAGGAATCACAAGGAGTAGCAGAGCCAGGGTCCCACCTGGGAGCAGTGGGCCTCCGTGGCCTGCAGGGACAGCAACACCAGAGCACTGCACCACAGGCCAGTGTCCTACCCAGGTGACAGGAGCGTCAGAACCTGAGGACACTCACAATGGGGTCCTCACCTCTGATCTAGGAGGTGCCTTGGGTTCCTGATGCTGCCGTGGGCTCCAATCTGCTCTGCTGGGTGGTCCTGTGTCTCCTGGGAGCAGGTGAACTCTGGGCACAGCTGGGAAACCTCTGACCTGCGTTTGCCATCTCTGAAATGCAGGTCTGCTGAGACAGGCTGCAGCAAGAGGGCCCTGTCTTCATCCTGGGTCCTGCCCTTAGGTTCTGTTTCCTGTCTCACAGGCCCAGTGGATTCCAGAGACATTCCAGAGCACCTGACCAAAGCAAAAGGACAGCAAGTGACACTGAGATGCTCCCCTACCCCTGGGCACCTTTCTATGCACTGGTACCAGCAGACCCCAGGCCAGGGCCAGCTCCTCTGGGTATTACAGTGGGGAGCAGAGGGGTAAAGGAAATTCCCCGCACAGCAGTACTGGGACTATCGCTCTGAACTCAGCCTGAGCTCCTTGTGCTGGGGACTCGGCGTGTGCCTCTGTACTGCAGTGGGGCACAGCCCTGCATGGTTGCCAGCCTTCTGTACAAACACAGTTGGGGGCATGTCCAGGAAGGTGCCATGGTGAGGAGCCGCTAGCCAGGGAAAAGCAGCCAAACCCTTCCTGGATCTCACTGCGACCTCCATGTCTGATCAGGGCTAATTACATACAATCCTGCTGGGTAAGAACTACGCACTTGTCTGTGTGTCTGTGGAAACAGCTCTTGGGTCCCACATGTGGTAACTGGCTGACTCTTCCTCCAACATCTCTGCCCCCTGCTCTGTAGATCTGTTACCTTCTCAGGTCCTGAGTCACGTGATGTGGAGGTCATATGTCTCGTTTGACAGCAACACCTCCTTCCATGGTGCATCCAAGGAACATATGACTTCAAGGAAAAGCAGCACAACGGATCCTTCATTGTAAGCAAAAATAAAGATGGGATTTTCTGCACTGCAGCCATGTTTGGCGATATGTGATGGCTCTCACTGTGGTTCCCAGCTGCACAGCAAAGGGATTGGGACATTTGCACACAAATTCCTGTTCTTACTACAAACAAGCACAAGGGAAAGAAATACACATGAGCGTTATCCCTTAATTTCCTCTGTTTATTTAGTAACATATCTGTGTCCTCTACTTATTTAATATCATATCTCTGTCCTCTACTTTGGACATAATGTAGAAAATGGGAAAAAAAGGAAAAGTGAAAAGAAAAGCAAGAAGAATATGTTTCTGGCTTGTTTAAAGTAATTTGCTTACTTTATGTATTATACAAATTTGTATTTTCCTTCTATCTTCTTTTTCTGTTTACTCTTTTTTTCCAACTCTTTGGTTATTTTGACAAAAACATTTAACATCATACCTATCCTCTTAAAAAGAGAGTTTCATTTCACTTCAATCCAATGACTAGAGGTGGACCAGGGTTATAACTCTCACTCCATCAGGCTTCCCACTGTCTCTAGTTTCATTTGTGTCCTTTGTGCTAAGTCCCATCGATACTGCATGACCTGGACCCCAGAGCCATGCTTGTCCTAGAAGGAAGCAGTCACATACAGAGTGGGAAGGCTGAAACAAAGCACGTGTTCCAGACCAGCCACACAACTATTTGCAGGCCTTTGGGTCAAACATTGGTAAGACTTTGAGGATTACAACAACAGATTGTCACACCACGTGTGGAATCCCTCTAGTTGTGGGCTCTGTGCAGCAAGACAGATCTGAGCTCTTGGCCTTTCATTACAGAATGCATGTCAGCATCCTACACTAGGGGTGCTCCTCACAGAATGGGGTGTCTTCCACAGACGCAGGACATTCTCCTTTCTGCAGGCTGCCACCTCTCCCACGTCACACCTGCACTTGTACATCTTCCTGGTGCTGGGTCATCTGCGTGACTGACTGTGCAGACACCACTGGCCACATGCGGGCAGACACCCGTGGGAGGTGACCGCACCTGAGGCACCACACCTGGGAGCAAGTACCGGGAATGAGGACGGAGCTGCCCACGTACATGTGGCAGGGCCCATCTCTCAGGGCACTGACAAGGAGCAGAGCCAGTGATCCCTTAGATGTTGAAGAACATTCTGCTGAGCTGTGGAGACCACATGCCGGGGAGAATCATGTGAATCGTGTAGTGTGGGGACATGGACAGAATTGCAGTCAGTTAAGCAAATTAGAAAAGGATACGTGAGGAATATTTGAGACACAGTGAAAGGTACCAGGAGCTTGTAAGGATTTTCCTTATGATAGTAGACTACAGAAACATTTAGTTAAATAAAACCCATGTAATAGCGGCATTACATTATATGAGGAATAAAATGTACATTGAGTTATAAACTACTGCACAATAATGTTAAGGAAATCTTATACGACAGATGTTGACTCAAATACATTAACGCTGTCCTGAGCTGATTGCTTGTGCACTCTGGTTTGGGCCATCTGGGGAAGGGGGCGTGGCCACTGGTGACAGGAAGCCTCTGGTCGCAGGCAGGGAGAGAGCAGGCTCACAATGACTCCCACAAGTGTCCCATTACTCTTCTGTCTGCAGTTGGACCAGAAGAGCCCGCTGACCCGCCCGCTCCTGCCATGAGTGTGGGTCCCCTGAGCTGTGTGGTCCTTTGTCTCCTGCTGGCAGGTGAGTCCAGAAAGGGCTCTCCAGGCCCGAGGGACAAGCCTTTCCACGGGGGCTGCAACTTCTGCTTCTTCCTCCTCTGCAGGTCCAGCGAATGCTGGTGTCACTCAGAGCCCCAAGTTCCAGGTCCTAAAGACAGGACAGAGCCTGACCTTGAGATGTGCCCAGAATATGAACTATGACTACATGTGCTGGTACCGCCAGGACCCAGGGCTGGGGCTGAAGCTCATCTATTACTCAGTTGACCATGACATCTATGAGAAAGGAGACGTTCCCGATGGGTACAACACGTTCAGACAAAGCACAGAGGAGTTCCACCTCACGCTGCCGTCAGCTGTCCCCTCACAGACATCTGTGTACTTCTGTGCCAGCAGTTACCACAGCCCTCCACAGCCACCTGCTGTCTGCACAACATCCAGGCAGGCACTGTGCCCCTGAACCCAGTGACGCCCTCATCAGAGTCCCTGAATGAGGAAGCAGGAGACCTAAAGACTCCGGGGGTTGGGTGAGACCTCAGCCTGCTGTGGTGCACCTGCAGGCAGACCTGGCCAGGCTGCACGCAGCCCTGGTCTCAGCTGTCTCCACGGGGGCTCCCTGGTCTTGCTCTGAGCTCTCTGGAAAGGGTGGTGATAGAGACTCCTCTGCTCCTCTCCCCATTGGCTGCGTCTGAGCTCCCTGGCTTGGAACGGGACCTGCAACTCCACCACATCCATATTCTTGTCGTTCCTGGATCCACACTGCTTTCTCCTTCAAGGATTCTCACTCAGGCTCAACCCTCAGATGATGTCTGCTGCTGCCCCGTCCCGTGTGGACGCTCCTCCCCAGGCCCTACCCGGTTGTTCTTCCCACTGGCCCCATCCTTTTCCACTCCTGTAAGTCCACCAGCCCCTCCTGACCTTACTCCTTCCTGTCATAGAGACGTCTAAGTAATGGATATCACATTCCTCTTACATAAGTTTAGATATTTCGCAGATGCGATACTTTTCCTCAATAACAGTCTTCTGTTGACCAGTGGTAGACAAATCTAGGATGCTCAGACTCTGAGTCCTGTGGTCTCCATATTTCTGTTTCCAGTTACCACGACCAGAATCTCTGTCCTGAGATGGTGTGCTGAGTGCTTACAAGGGTGCTCACTTGTTGAACAAGCATAGGAGCATCCATCATGGAAGCCAGTTTATCTGTTGATATGGGAACTTCCAGTCAAAGTACAGCATGATGGTGTCTGCACTGCGTGTTTATTGCTGCACTGGTCACACAGCCACGATGTGGAGTCTACACTAGAGTCCTTCGACTGGTGACAGGATAAAGACAGTGTGGGACAAATACACAATGGGATAAAGACGAACTGCTGCCTGATCAACCTGGAGTGTGTTATGTGAACTGTCAGACACAGGAACACAAATACCACATGTCCCTCTTATGTGTCAAAGCTACCAAGTTCATCTCACAGAGGGGGAGAGTGGAACTTGGTTACAGGAGCCTGGGAATGGTGAGTGTGAGGGAGACAAGGAGTGAGGAGGTTAACTAGTACAGGGCTGTCGTTGGATAGGAAGAATAGCCTCTCATGTTCTATAGCACACAGGGTAACTCTGGTCAGCAACAACTAATTGTATATTTAAAATAATGAATAGGATTTTCAGTCTTTCCAAGGTGAAGATTTGATGAATATCTGATGATTGGCATGCCAATTACCCTGATCTGATTGTCATGCATCACAAATGTGTATGGAAATGTGACTCTTTACCCCCAAATATGAAAAGAATGGAAATAGATCATTGAAGATTGAAATAAATGACAAAAATTTTAAAAACTAAAATTGATTTCTGAATGTAACCTCCTCCACTCAAGACGCTTTGTCAGCAATGATACCAGCCATGTAGTCCATCCCAGATGCACTGAGATCCTGAGAACTGGGCCATGCCCATGTGGTCTCTTGTCTGTTATCAACCTAAGAAAACCATCCCTTTACAGATTTTTAAGATTAGGAAGCAAAAACAAGACAATAGAAGTCAGATATAACTCAAGGTGAATACTAATGATGTCCCATTGAAACTCTTTCTTTTTTTATTTGACTAGAGAAAGAGGAGGGGAGGCAGTTAGAGAGAGAAAGAGAGAGAAATCTTCTATCTGCTGGTTCATTCCCCAAAAGGCTGCAATTGCTAGGGCTGCAACAGGCTGGTGCCAGGAGTTAGGACCTTCTTGGTCTCCCTCGTGGGTGCAGAGTGCCCAAGCCCTTGGGCTACCCTCTGCTGCAACCCCAGGCAGATTATCAGGGAGCTAGATCAGAAGTGGAGCAGCCAGGACTGGATTATTAGTGCGATTAATGTGCGATGCGACATTACAGTCAGTGGCTTTGCCTTCTGTGCCACAAGGCTGGCACAGAAACTCTTGCATAATTGCCCTTGTTTGGTGAAAGAAATGAGCAGGACCATTGTGGTGTTGGAGAAGGATTCTCTGGTGAATATTCACTGCGTGTTTTCTTAGAAAGATATGGCTGACTTTCTCAAACTGTCTCCTAATAAGATGATATTCTCTGATCCTTCACAAGACAACAATAAAAGGACCTGAGCATTTCCAAAAGTATTTCCTTAAATTGTCCTTAAAATGTATTTAAGTATTTGAAGATACTTTGAAGAGTATTTGAAGAGAGACAGACAGAGAGAAAGATCTTCCATCCGCTGGTTCACTCGCTGAATGTCTATAAAAACTGGAGCTGAGCCAATCCGAAGCCAAAACCCAGGAGCTTCTTCTGGGTCTCCCACATGGGTGCAGGGGCCTAAGCAGTTGGGACAACCTCTACTGCTTTCCAGGCCACAGCAGAGAACTGGATCCAAAGAGGTGCAGCCAAATGCAAACCAGCACCAATATGGAAAGCCACAGCCTCAGGCAGAAGTTTAGCCCTCTGCACACCACAGCATCGGCCCCATCAACATTCTACTTTAAATGCAGGTAAAGATCCCAAAGGAAAAAAATGAGACTCAAAACGTGAAGGAACCAATGGAATGTGATAGTCAGTCTGAACAGGTCTGATTCAGAGAACGGAGGTGGCTCGAACAGAAACAGGGGACCACACTAGACCCCGGGTTTCAGGGAAGACAGTGAGTTCCCCCTCCAGTGTTTCCTATTCACAGAGCCTCTGATAGACTCGGCAGACACAGGAGCGACTGTCGATGAGAACAGAAACGCGGACAGTCACTCTGAGAACCCAGCATCCAGACAGTCCAGGGGCAGAAGGAATGATCCATGTACGGACTTCGTTAAAAGGCAGCCGAGAGATACAAAAATCAATCACCCGAATACACATGAAATGAACCCTGTGAGGTCAGGGGATTGACAGAGGAAGTGATGTCACCACGTTTGTGGTGTTTGAGAACAAGGGACGCCCCTCCTCCTCCTCTCTCCTGCCCACAGGACTGCTCTGCAGGAAGCTCCCATCCTGCCCCGACGGCCATGGGCACCAGGCTGCTCTGCTGGGCAGTGCTCTGTCTCCTGGGGGCAGGTGAGTCCTCAGACACCATGCATTGCATCGTGGCTGTGGTGTGCACATGTGTGTGTGCCTGTGTTCATGTGTGTTCATGTGTGTCTGTGTGTGTCAGTGAGGACTACAGCTGTTTTCAACTGTGTTCCCAACTTCTGTCTCCACAGAACACATGAACGCTGGAGTCTCCCAGTCCCCCAGGCACAGGGTCACAGGGAGGGGACAGAATGTCACTCTCACGTGTGACCCAGAGTCTGGTCATAATGTTCTCTATTGGTACCGACAGAGCCAAGGGCAAGGCCTGCAGTTGATGATGTACTTCCAAGGAAAAAATCCAGCAGAAGAGTCAGGGCTGCCTGGTGCCCACTTCTCCGCTGAGAGGCCTGGGGGATCTTCCTCCACCCTGAAGATCCAGCCTGCACAGCCCGGGGACTCAGCCATGTACCTCTGTGCAGGCAGCGAGGCGCCGCCACCTCCCACCTGTTCACAAACCTCATCCTCTGTCTCGGGGCATCTCTGAGAGACCCTAAGCAGAGGGTGTTCTGATCTTCACAGCTGAAAGGAAAGAAGTGGATTTGGTGCCCGCCATCCCTTCTCAGGAGGTGACCATGAGGAACTCCTGCCACACTGGCTGTCAGAGTGCTGAGTGGGGACCATCACGGTGCACCAGCTGCTGGGGTCCCCAGAGCCAGCTCAGGGCACAGAGTGCAGTCAGCGGGAGCCTCGCTCAGGGCCGGGACACGCAGTGCTCTGCAGATCTGCACACTGGGGCTGCTGCACACACACGGGCTGGGTGGTGGGCAGGGAGCAGGCGTCTGTGCCTGGGAGGGCTGAGCTTTCTCCTGAAGCCGCTGCTGTCCTGACTCCATTGCTGGTGGTGTCCACACAGCGTCAGCTCCGTCCTCCTGTGGGAGGTGAGGGTCTGTGCCGCCCGTGTGACGATCATCGATGAACTCCACACCAACAGTAATTAGACCTCATTGCATCTGTCAGGTAAGCCACCTGCTTTCTTCATCTGTCATCTTCCACTGCTCCTGCTAGACTCACGATGCTTTCACTACTGCTCCTAGTCCCACTTTTGTCCCCTTAGAAAATCAGATTTCTAGAAATTGAGGATTAATTGCAGCCCCAGTGTCTTTATTCTAAATTATTCCACTAAAGATGAGGGTTTTTTTTTTTAACAAGAAATTACATTTCCTTTTGTATTTATTCATTATAGTGATATAGATGGTTATGCAGTAATTATTATAAATGTAAATATTATATTGCAATATAATCATCGTCCCCAGTGTGGGTGAAGCTGCAGCTTGTGTGTGTGACACCCAAGCTATGTCAGAGCTGATTTGACTACGGATTCTGTGTTTCTGGGTGTCCTCAGACATGGCTCAATGTCAAGCCTGGGACAGAAAGCCACAGACCCAGCTATGACAAAGGGGCCTTACTATTAACGCGACTGGTAGAAGACTGTCAGTTACCCCAGATTCACTGATCTGAAATTGTGATTGTGACAGAACATGAAAATTACTTTCCACAGAGATTACTGTTCTTACTTGGATGGAAGTTATTCTGGTAATATTTTGTTCTAAACTGTTTATTTATTTGTATTTATTTATGTAATTATTTAATGTCCAGCAGGACATTGCACAAGTTCCCACATTTCCCATTCAGGATTGGGCTGGGCCCAAGCAGGAAGCCAGGAAGTGAATCCAGGACTCCACCTGGGTGGCAGGAACTGATTTATTTGAGCAAATTACCACTGCGTCTCAGGGTCTGCGCTAGCAGGAAGCTGCTAGAAGCCAGAGCCAGGTGTGCTGATATGGGACACGCATGTCTTTGTCCCGAGGCTAAACACCCAGCCCTCCTGGTGGCATTTTCAGTGCGACATCATGAAACACTGCTGGTCACTTGCCCTGTGTCACCTGATTGGGAGTGAAGGCAGGGAACAGAAAGGAATTCTGTC